CCATAAAAATAAGTAGTAAAGTAAAGTAAAAATATCAGAAAAATCTACTTGAGTACAGTAACAAAGTATTTGTACTTTGTTACTTACCATCTCTGGCTGTGACACCTCTGGACAGATCAGCTGTGCTGCTGCCATCAACACCTTTGTTTATAGTAGATGGAGCTTTTCCTGTTTTTTCAGTAGTCCTGTTTCTCAGTGTAGTTCTGTGCTCTCTTTCATCCTCTGACGTGGGAGCTGGCTCGGAACTCGTCTGCCTGGCTGTGTGTTTCCTGGATGGTGCCGCCTGTGGAGATAGTTAAAAGTTACCTTTTTCTATCTCTGCTTCTGTCTCCTTGAACCCCAGTCGGCCTCAGCAGATGGCCATTCAAACCTAGCCTGTTTCTGGTTTGAATGGTTTCATCCTGCTAAAAAGGGAGTTTTCCTCTCCACTGTCCCTACAAGCATGCTCTGCGTGAGGGATGTTATCTATGCAATCAGCTGGTTTTCCTTAGATAGAAAACATAACTAATCTGACTGTATGATCAGGGGAATTTGTCTCCTTAAAGTTCCTTGAGTTGTATAGTAATGTGTTGTGAATCTGCGCTATATAGATAAAGTGAATTGAATTGAACTGAGTAAAAGTAACTACTGTAGTTACTACTCACCTCTGGATACAATTACACCATTAGTAAAATCTGAACTACTGATAAAAGGCATAATATATCCATGATTACATTTTTTTTTCTGAATGTTGAAGATGTTATGTGTCTCATATTGTCCATTTTTGGTGACTGTTCATACTGACTGTTCCTTTTAAAGTTATATGGGATATTTTATTATTATTTTTTTTAATTTAAGAATACTTTATTGATCCCCAATGTAAATTTGATATTGTAGTAACTCGTTTTTTTCCACTAGATGTTTTGTATTTTGAGGGCAGGACTGATCTTCTGTAGGGGGCCCATCATTTTTGATGGGATGATTGTAAGGTAGCTTGAAATCTCTCTTCAAATTTTCCAGGCTACACTTACATGGTTCACCTCAGTTCAGTATTTTTCAAATTTCTGGAAAATGACTCTCACTGTGGTTCACTGAAGTTCAATCCTTACTGTAACACATCTTCTATAAAAACAGGCTGTAAAAGGCCAGCACTGTGTGAACTGTGCACACTGAAGGTTGCACTTAGTGAGTTAGTGATCCAGCCGCCACAGTGAACTCATAATTATTTTGCTATTTTGGTTGTGTTCCACTCCAGAAGAGTGCAGCTTCAGCTCAGCGGGGGTGTACGACGGCAGCGTCTTCAGCCGGATATTTCAGATTCTTTACAGAAATGAGGAGATTGCTGTTAATGACTGCATGATCTTCAAAGTCCACCTGCTACTGGATGGAGAAAGGGTGAGTCACACTGGCGACATTACAAAAAACATGCACGCACTTAATTTTCCTAATGAAACACATAAGTTACTAATGGAATAAACACTTTGAAGCTGGATTTATTTATTGCTAAAACAATTACAGAGTCGTTTTCTTTCACAGATGCAGCTGCGGTCTTTAGAGCACATTAAGGGGTCATTGTTATTAATTGTCTGCAGCCTTCTGCACCACATTGTGGTAAAAACAACAACTATGGTACTCATCAATGACCCTTTCTACTGTATTGATCCCAGAGGGAAAAAATGAATAAATAAAATAAGGAAATAAATGAATTAATATAATAAAATAGAAATAATAGAGTAAAAAAGAAATTAAAATCAATGTGTTTTTTTAAATAGATTGTAATGATGAAGTAAACTAGCCTCGTGAGACCATCCTGATCTCGCGAGCTTTCAAG